GCCATTTCGTGGCTGAACGACGCCCCGCGCTGTGAGGCCTTGGCGGCCTTCCCGGCTATCGAGCTGGCGGCGTTTGCGCTGCGCTGGAGCTGCCCGGCAGGGGTCACGCTCCCGGACGGGTGGAACCTCGCCCTCGGGGTCCCCGACCACGCCCTGGGACGCATTCGCGTCGCCTTTGCGGGGTATCTCGAAACGATCGAGGTCTCTTCAAAGAGGGAGCTCGACGCCATTCGGGCCGCCATGCCGAAGGTCGAGTACCGCACCGTGAACGAAAAGGCCCTCGAGGGGCAACGCGCGCTCGACCTCGCGACGGGGGCCCGACCGGTCAACGAGGAGGGGAAGGCAGCGGGTCCCCCGGATGACGGGACGCCCCAACCCCCTAAACCCCTTGGCCCTTCCACGGCAACCTCATCAGGGACGCCCCATCATTGGCCCGCCGCGGAGCTCCTCGGGGCGATTGGGCTGCCTTGCCCTGAGCTTCCCGATGCGGAGAAAGTGAGAGGCCTGGGCGTCCCGCCGCAGCCTCTAGAAAAAGAAGTATCCCCCTCCTCCTCTTTCTCAGCCTCGTCCGAGGGAGACGACTTCGAGTATGAGGACCTCCGCCAGGTCCAGCGGCGTCGGCGAAAGGAGGCCGCGGAGGAGCGGCACCGCCGAAAGCGCCGGAGCCCCGACCGCCGCCAGGAGCGCGTACCGAACCGGCGGCATCACCACCAAAGCCGCCGCGCGGATCAATACGGCGACGCCCGCAAAGGCCGAGAGCGCCGCGACCGTGATCGAGGGGGGGAAAAAGCGGCGAAGGGTGGGCGTCGCTATGACCTCAAGCGCGATCACGCCAAGAGAGAGGATGATCGACGGAGACGACACTAAATTCACATTGGGAAAGAAATCTGAGTTTCTTGTTCAGCACAAATCACAAGGCAGCCACAGCCTTTTTTTGACGAAGCATGTAGGTGCCTTTTACAATGAGGCATTCACTTTACATCCACGCTATCTGGTTAAACATTATTCATGTACCTTTCTCCTAATGGCAAAGGAAAAGAGAATGCCCTTTATCTCTCTTCAGTCTCGGGACCCGTCTGTTACGCCTCTTTTTTTTCTCGTTTTTCTTCTTTTTTTTGCTTTTACTCATTGCTGAATTATATGCTTGAAACCCTTCAATGGAAAAGGGAGGGATGCTTCCAAGGCATGTTGAGGACATTACCCAGCTCCTAACACTTCAGGTACTGGAGATCTATTCGCATTACATGGCAGTGCAGGAAGGCAGTTCACCCCCCTGTTCACTCAAATTTTCACCACTTTCGAAAAAGGTGGCTCCGGTTTCAGTAGAGGAGGTCTTAGCCCCACTTGAACTTCTCTACGGCAAGACTTTCCTCTCCGGAGTTGGTATTGCGCTGCACGGTGAAGAGTCGGTTATTCGTTATGTTGAAGGGAACATTTCCGCCGCGTATGACGTCCCATCTGGAAATGTGCAATCAGCATCTGATAAAGAAGAGGAAGAATGTCGTTGTACTTTGACCAGTAGATCATTATCTACCGCACGATATGTCTACCGGGTTGGAGAACATATACTGCTTTCGCCGTATTATTGCCCATGCTCAGCCTATGCCTATCAGTCAGTACGACGGAAAAAGGTTTGGTGTTGCAAACATATTCTAGCACTTCGTATCTGTCTTGCTCTAGAATCAGCAGGGGTAAAGCAACATAATATCCTAATTCAGATTGTTGACACCAAAATATTTGACGATCTTCTTGCCGAAGCGATGTCTGAAAAAGAAGATTTCAAATAAATGAAAAAAAAGAGTCCTATTAAGAGAAAAAGAGCTTTACAGAGAGAGAGAGGTGATTTTATTGCATTGTCGAGATACTTCTGTGCTCAACATCAAATTTACTAATTTCTTCACTATTTCAGAAGTATATAGAAAAAAAAACGCAGAGCCCTAAGAGTAGCTCACACCATATATTGAGACACTTTACTAACATGTTGGAAGGGGACTTCAGGGGTTGGTAGGTCTTTTTCTGTTTTCTTATTTTCTGTCCAGTGCTTGGTACCCTCGTTTTCCTACCTTTCCTTCTGACACGTTTGACATTGTAATACAATTGCTAGTGTGGGGAGTATCTGCACGATTTTTATCTGGATTTAACTTATAAAAGCTCCCTGAACGTCCAATGGTCTCTTTTGATTGGTGGGATATCACGAAGGGCGGTCTCCGCCTCGTGGCGATCGTCGACGACCTCCTTCACGTCCTCTTCGCCGTTGTGGTGGTGGCGACGGTGGTGGTGGGGTTGGCGCTTTCGCGGAATGTTTACCGCTCGATGCTCCGCACGCGCGCGATGCGAAATGACCTAGAGGAGAAGACGCTCTCGCGGGAGAGTCGCGTCTACCTTGGTGCGATCGAGGCGGAGGGCACCGTCGAGGAGGTCCTCCGCAAGGCGGGGTGGTCGCGGGTTTACCTCCGACGCCGTGTGCCCGTCTCGCGCATCGGTCATAACCGCGAGATCGACGTGATCGCTGTCGGGAAAGTGATCCTCGTTGTGGAGGTGAAGCATTGGCAGGGCTACGTCTGGAGCAACGGCCCGCGTTGGTTCCAAATGCCTGTCCGAATGAAACATACACTCGAGTTTGAGGATGTTATGGAGGATAACGTCGTCAAGGCGGCGGCCCTGCGGCGATTTATCGAGAACACACACCGCATCGCGCTTCCGGATCTCCCTCTCTTGTCCAGAGAAGGAGAAGGAGCTGAGAAAAAGGACGACCACAACTACCAAACTGTTAGCTTCAGCAATACAGGACAGGACAAGAACAGTGCCAATGAGAACGATAGCTCCCCTGAAGATGCGTTATTAAATGATAAGAAGGATGTGGGCACCTGGTATACGGACAAATCGCTTCATAAGCAATGTGGGTTGTGTGTGCTGCCGATTGTGGTGTTTACCAACCCACGCGTGAAGCTTGATCCCGCTACTGTAAAGGCCAAAAAGTTTGTATTTACACTCAATGACTTTCGCATCTTCGCCCGTGAAGCGTTGAGGGGAAACTTTTCTCTGGAGGCTCCCAACGAGGTTGTGGCTTGGCGTAAGAAGGGATATTTACTTTTGCCGCCCTTTTTGCGCCGTTTACTATCCCCTTTTCATGTTCCATCTGAGGCTGCGCTGGGAAGCGACTTACAACAACAAATCGGCGAAGCTATCGAGAACATGCGCACCTGGGATTTAGTTCGACTTCACAACGGCCGCCTCATTGTGGGTGACGTTCAGAAAATAGACGCGCCTAGTGCAAACTGTATATACGAACGAAAGGAACTTCTAGAAATTAACTTCCAGTGGAACTACGGCGCTGTAGGCCTTTTGAAATCATTTTTGTCAAACCGTGGAGGAACGGTGGAACTTGTTCTAACGACTGCTAAGCGCTTAGCAATTAAAAAGAAAGAAAAGAAGACACAAGACTGGAAGGGAAACATTATCTTCCCAATTGTTCCGAATAATAGAAGACTAACTCTGAATGATCGTTTGTCCATTAAGTCACCTGGCACACCAAAATTGATAACTCTAGCTCTGTCGAATATCAAAGAGGTACACCTCAGCCGTCACCTGTACGAATTAGAAAAAGGAATTGAGGTAAGTTAATAATACTCCACTCTTTTTAGGGGTTGAATGCGCTGCAGTACCTTTGCATGCTGCAATGATAGAATAATTCGATTAATACAATATGCTTAAAATTAAAGTTGCTGGAGTGTAATAAAGGGAAAAAACACCCCTCCAAGTGTTATTTCCTAAAAAATTCGTGTGGTCCTCTAAAATGGAATCGATTTATTTCTTCTTCTTTATTTATGCACTCAAAAAGAATTCTCAATTAGCTTCTTCATATCCCTAGTGGGTCAGGTGGATAGGTGTCTTCCATAAAAAATACTTCTATGCTATCTGGAGGAGGATATTTGGCATTAAGAGTATTTGTGAGGAGAGGTAGAATTCTAGCCGAAGCCCCATGTTCCGACGCTCTTGTAGGCTGGTATGGACCCCGAACTACTTTCGGTATGGGCGTCGTACGGATCGTCTCGCCACAAAGATGACCTCTAAAAAAAGACAGGTCTTAGCCACGGCAGGGGCACCAAAAAGGGGGATGACGAAGCGCCCCCACAAGGAGGAGGAAAACTCCACATGGGTTTCCTCTTTGCACTACGTCAACATGCAGCTTACGCGTCTCAATATCTCCGAAAAGGAAGACTCTTGGCGACGGAGCGCACGTGAAAAGCTCATACGCACCTCTCAAAAGCTCCATTCGGAATGGAAACGACTTCCGGCCCTTTTACCTAAAAAAGCACAGGACGATCAGCAGGCGTGTCTTTGTTTTCAGACCCGGCAAGATGTCCTTGGCCCCTTGTCTAGCTTTCTTCGTGTGCCACGGCAGCCTCACACGAGTTCGTTCAGGGGTGACCACTTAAAATTATATCGTGTTGTAGAAGATGCTGAAATCGTGGATGATAAAGCCCCTCCATTGGCTCATAGGACTTCCGCCGGATCCATTTCTTCAGATACCTCCAGAGATTGGGGTATTACACGTTTTTCGCTTGAAGATTTGATTGGTTTTCTAGAGCTTTACCATTATGTCGAGAGCGAGGATGGCCCACTGTTAGGTCTTCTTCTTCATGAAGTGAATCAATTTCTATTTGGCAATGTGATGCCTCTTTTGGAAACCTCCGGCGCGGAATCGGTGCGAGTTCGCCTTCCTCTTCCACAGCTCCTCTTCATCCTGTCCGAGCTGGGAATAACCGAGGAGCGCATGCTGCAGGCGATTGTGTGTCGTAGTCATGAAAAGCTCCCCCCCTCCCATCCGGGAGATCCCACGACAAGAGGTCTGCTGTACGCCAATTTACCCCTTTATACAACTCGGGATCTTGTAGTCTTGATGGTCGCGCTCCATCGCTTTGGTTTACAGCAAGACTACGCGTTTGAACGAACCATCAAAGCCTTGAAAGTGCGCTTGTGGAGGTCGGACTCTCCCGAGGCTCACCTTCGGCTAACTATCAAAAAAATGGAATTAAATGCTGACAGTCCCCTCGGACGTGAATCACGCGACGGGGTTGCCAACGAGCTGGGGAATTCGGACAATGAACCCGCTGATCGGTGGCTTCGGCACCTTCCGAGACTTGAAAAGGATTTGCAATGCCCCCTTGAAGTGTTGGTGGAGGCGATTACGGCCCTCAGTGTGAGTGTGTTTCGCCCCCGGGATGTGCTTGCTTTGGTGGCGAACTTACTACTGGTATCTGCACACGCTGAATTGAAAGCCGTCCTGGGTAGTGCCCTCATAAGCCCTTCAGAGAAGAAATCCACGATGTTGGCCATCTCGCACCAACTTCACCAGGCAGTGCATCTCTATGAAGAAATGAACGAACTACAGCCATTGTTGGCAGAACTGCTTACCTGGAGTTGCACCGTTTCCGAAGTAGGTGTATTAATAGACGGAGAGGAAAGCGCTGAGATTCCATCGGAACGTCGGGCATGCTATGATCACGTTACGGCGGATCTGGTCAAAGTAAACTCAGTATGATTAAGTGCGACATCAAACATCCATACATGTTGTTGTTTTTAGCTATAGATGTCATATTTTTCATCCCCTTACCACGCGCTGTGGCAACGCTAAAATAAAATTTTATATGCCTTTCTGCCTATTCCTTTTTTTTCCCCATATATTTCGTCTTTGTCCAATTAGTTCAATATCCAAGATTTCACTATTGTGGTTGATTAACCGGTATATTTCTAACCACCTCTGCTTATTCAGTCCCTTTGATTACATAGGGGAATAGTTTTTTGTGATTTAAATTTATAATATTAAGTGTCTTTGCTGTGAATATTAGCATCTTTTCCTTGCGTGAGTCGGTATTGTCTGTAAAAAAAAAAGTATTTCTTCAAACTATCTAAGCATACTGTGTGGAGCTTTCAGGGTAAGCTAAAGACAAAAAAAGTGAAGTAGAACCTAGAAAAGGGAAAATTTAATGGCTGAGAGAACGCCTAACTACGTAGATGTGGTAAAGCGAAGTCTCACGTCATGCGGTTTATCGCCACATGTTTCGGTAACAGAAGCGGAGGCAGAAAAGGAAAAAGGAAAGGACAAACAAAACGCAGATCCTGCACAAGCGTCCATGCATGCGATCGATGATGATTGGGGAGGCCAATTGACTAAGCAGAGTATTGACGCTGCAAAGCCATATATTCCCTCCTACTTAGCGGCACTCAAGACTTACAAACCGACCGTAATGCTGGAGGGTGTCCCGCTCAAGGTGAACCAAAAATCTCAAACGTGGTGTTCGTCAACCAACGTTTCCAACTCAATTCTGGAACCCGAGAGCACGTCCTCTTGGGCTGACGATGATGATGACTTTTTACTTACCATAGCGCTCTCCCAACAGAAGAAAGAGCTTGAAATGCGAACGACCATCCCTCAACCTAGCGCTGGCGGCGGTAGAAAAGCCAACAACATGAGAGAAATGCTAGACAGTCATACAGACCAAGCTAGTAAACGGATGGCGGAAGGAAACGAAGGTGGCGTTAACCATGGATATTACGAACAGAAAAAACGCGGATGGCGAAAAGTGGAAAAAGGAGCTCCATCGTGTAGTAATTCTGAAAAAAAACGAGGCTTCCAGCACAACAAACGGCAGGGCAGTAATGCAATGCAAAACAACAATGGTAACACCACTTCTAACCCCGCTTTTTTATCCTGCGGGCGTTTTGATGTCTTGGCGGATATCAAGACAAAGAAACGCCGATGAGTGGTAGCTTATCTGTAAATGGTAACAGACCATCAAATGTATCGTTGTGTGCTTCTATCGATTTTCCCCCTCTTACTCAAAAGGTCGTACCTCTCCACGTATACTAGCTGTTTCGCCACCTCTTTTCCAAACAAAATAGCTTATATTTTCCTTTTTGAAGCAAATGGCATTCTTGGCTTCACTTTCTAAAAAATATAAAAGGAAAAAAACGCTGTAGCACGTGAATCTAAAAAAGGGTGCTTTTTTTTTGTGCTTTCATTTGCAATTGTTGAATAAACACGAAATTATTTTATTCTACTTAACATATATAGGACTTATTTTTTATCCTATCATAAGTGACTTCTGTTTCCTTGAAGGGATGATGCTTTTAAATATTTACCCCATTTATACAGATTCCTTTGGGGCATAATTTGGTTATTGCCTAATTTTTTTCAATTTTGCATCATTGTTTGGGTAATTGCATTACAAAGATCAGTAAAGCTTTCTTTCCTGTTTGTGAATATTTACTTATTTGTATATGTACAATTAGTCTGTAGAAAATATAAACGTTTAGTGTTGTTGTAACTTCAAAATTAACAAGTTTGTCTCCGTAGAGACTCCAAGGAGAAGCTTCTGTATGAAGAAAATCGAGTGCAGAACGGTGTTGGAATGAATATATATATACATATACATGGGTGTGAAGTAATTTTTTACACCAACCTTGCTTACTATAACAATCGAGAAGAATGAACCCTTTACCTGCAGGATAGCTACCATTTTTGACTTGTTTTATTGTTATCCCTATTCTTTATTAATTGGGCATTTCTTTAGGTCTTCACAAGTAAATTTGTAATTAATGAGTATACCACCACCACCACCACCACCACCGCCGCCGTCACCACCATCGGTATTGTCTTCGGTCCCACCATCCTCGGCAATTAGCAGCCTCTTTGAAGAAATTAGAAGCGCTGGCGACTCCATTACCTCTCGACTACGTCATGTGCCCGAGCATAAAAAGGCTTACATGTGGAAGGCGAAGCATGGGGAGGTGGATATGGGTGCTCTGGAGCTGAGGAAGATAAAAGCCGAGATGCAGAAGCTCAAGGAGACTAAAAGCTCCGGCGCCATGCATCACAAAGCCGGGGAGCCCGTCTTGTTTTTGGAGAACAATAAGCGCTGGCTGGTGAAATCACACGCGGGTAACCCCGAGCAGCTGTTACACCTTTGTCTGGACGATACGCAAATGCAACACACGGTTTGCGTGCAGGACTGCCGTCATGTGCACATCGAGGTGAAGGGCAAGGTGAACTCTATTTCCATCACACGCTGTCATAAGGTCCAGGTCGCGCTATCAAGCATCATATCCACCGTGGAGATCCTGGGCTGCACGGACACCGATGTACAGGTCGGAGAGTCGGCCCCGAGCGTGTCGATTGAGGACAGCTCGACCGTCAATATCTACCTTCTCAGTCCAGAACATTCTCGTAGGACGGATATCTTCTCGAGTCGTATCTCCACGGTAAATGTGTTATTTCCATCCCAAGATGATCCTGAGAACATTGTGGAACGCCCGCTGCCTGAGCAATTTGTCAGCAAGATCTTCTTTGATAATAAAAAAAAAGATGTCATCGAAACAATGCCTAATAGACACTAATAGCAATATTATTTTTATTTTTTGACTATTGAAAAAAAGATACGGTATTTCCGTTTTGGATAAAATAAGCTTGAAAATGTACTATCCCTATTTATAGTAAGTTATTTACTAGGAATGTTTTTCAGAGCAAACATTTTTTATTTTTAGCTATTTTGTATTATTTAAACAATTCTTGACCTAACGTGTGCTCAGATGGTCATCTATTGTTTAGATGGTATGATAGTGTCTTTATGGGTACATTTCTGCTTCCGTATGCTTTCTAAACTAATATTGATAAATATTTACATATTTTCCTGTCCATGCCCACTTTATTAGCAGTGCCTATATTAATTTAAGCCTCAACACTACAGGAATATTGTTTACCCTAGCTATATACTCTTAGTTCCACTTCCTTCATTCCTTTAAATCCTCCTTACAAAGAATAATTAAAAGGAAGGGTAATACATGGAATGGCATCCAAAAATGCAGAGTTGTCCTTGATCAAGCGTTTCCACATGCTGAGTCAAGACTATGATGCACGCCCCGCTATCGCCAGGTGCAATACACTTCCAGTGGTTTCTCGTTTCCTGTCGAACAATGATCGTGAGGTACGGAAACTGTGTTTGGAGGCGGTCTACTTGCTCTCACAGCACCCCGACAATGTGGACCTGCTTGGTAGTGAGTTGAGCTTAGTAAATGGGATCTTCCACATATACAGCGAGGCACAGTATAACGATCCAGAGCTATACGAACTTTCCAATCTCACGTTAGATACACTCGGCCCCGGTTTACGCGACGGTGACCCACGTCATACTGAGGCATTACGCCATGCCGCTGAGGATAGGTCGGTGTCGCCGGTTGAAAATACGTGCGAGCCTAATTCCAGCAGTCTACGCAACAGCACCGACGACATGGAATCATCGCTAGGGGCGAGGTGTGGCCTCCACGAGACCGCCACGGCTCCCCCCACGCACTCCCGTGTGTGGGCCCCCCACATGGTGACCATGGAGGTTCCAGCTCTCCACACTCACACCGATACATCAGATTTGGAAGAAATTCTTCAAAGAACTAAGGGGATCATTTCATACACCATCACTTCTAGCGCGCATCAACTACGCGTGTTTTTGTTCCGTGAGGCGCTTCAACCTCTGCAGGATGCCTTAAATGACGCTGGCTATGTTAATCTTGTGCTCAGTAACGAGCGGATAGCAAACCAGGAGGACTTAGGAAACAATCACCACAATACTAATAAAAGCTACTATGATGAGGAGGAAAAGCGACCTTCTTATCTGGAAGGTGTCAAATCTTTTGCTTCAAACCTTTGCAAAGCCGTAACGCTATACACCGGGAATAATAGCAACACATTGGCGGCACGGGTCCAGCGACAGCGGGAGGTAGGGGATCAGAAGGGGAGCCGGGTAGCAGACCGTCTGGTTCGAAATATAGCAAATTGGTTTTGATTTAGAATTATTTTCAAAAATTATTATCATGCCTATAAGAGGTTTGGAGCAAGGGTAGCAAAGTCATCCGTTTGTCGGAATTTTGTGTGGGATATCCTTTTATATTAAGTGATTTTTGTCTTGCATTGTATATTCTTAAAAAATGAAGCTACTTTAGAGTTTTATAAATTGTTTAAGTTTACTCTAATTTTTTACCTCGTAATTCTCCTCTGCATAAATAAGCGAATCCTTTCCCCAAAAGTGCCGAATAAATATTCATTCGAATACTGCTTTTTTTCTGGTGTGGGGGCAAAGGAGGGAAAGGTATATTGTTGGCTCCTATTATTGGATTTTTTTTGCTTGCATTAGGTGTGTCTTGTGCACCAATTGAGAGTAAAAAGTTTATATCCTGTGATAGTTTCACGAAAAGTGCATTTTACGTATGCTTTGTCAACAAATTACCGCATACTTTTTAACTTTTAAATTTCATTTGCTTCTGTTGTCCATTGAAGGTAGCTCTAAACGATTAGCCTAATGTCTTTCATTGATAGAATTTTGTTTATCTTCGTGTTGCTGAGCTTGTGTGGCTTCTCGTCCACGTTTGCCGACACCAATATTTATGTGAAGCTCTTCCCTGGTAAGGAATTGTGTCTTGCGCACTTTGTCTTTCGTGACCCTGAAGCCTCACCTGTTCAGGTGGGATTTGTCCACCGAGCCATTTCCCCCCGTTTGAGCTATATTCACGCAAAACTCTACGGCCCCAGTTCAGATATCAATACACGCGGACCTGAAATTCCGCTCCAGGACCCGATTGATACACTAGGTCATATTACTACAATTTACTTCCATGCAGAGGAAACTGGTGTCTATACGGTCTGCCTCCGATCACTTCGCCAAGCCCCTGTTATGGGCTTTGAAATTAGCTTTGTAACGGACAACGAAATGGTGGAGCCGCTCTATCTAGAAGATGGCGCAATGGCGGTCGACAAGCCGGTAGATATGGAAGATTACAAGGATCGTCTAAACATGCTTAAAATATGTGTAGAGGAAACACGCGACGAGGTTCGCAGCATCCAGGTCCGTCGGTTTATGTTTGAACACACTACAAAATCCATCATGATGTTAACAGTCGGGACATTGATGTTTAATATGATAATTGCGGTGGTTCTATTTTTATGGTCGGAGCGTTACATGGAAAGAGTTTTCATGAAAAAAAGGAAAAATGAATAGTCCCCGAACTTTTTGTCCACATGATACTAAGGATTGATTTAATCCTGTTTTCCTGTGTTATAGGCATGTTTAAGTTGTATCTCGATCTTTATATGCCCTCTCTATCGTGAATATA